AAAACTCTTCGGTTCTCCACGAATTACACAAGTCACCCAAATCAGCGTTAAAAAAGTGGGAGGCGCCGAAAAGCAACTAATTTGCATCACTGTAAATAGTTTCATTTATGTTTTAACTCAGAAAATTGTCAAATGTCATATAAATAAGGTCTTATGGCCCTAAATTCCAAAACAAAGGGACAATGGGTTGGACTGAAGCAAAACTAAAGGTTTAACACAAAATTGATTGACATAGTTATACTTTATGCTTAAATAACAGTCAAGCTAGACAGGGTCAACAATGATCCCAGAGGGCACAAGATGTGATTATGTGTTGCCACTAATCCTAGATCATTCAAACTGTTAAATGTCTATTTTTGATAACACACATTTTTTTTTTTAAAAAGGCGCCAGACTCAAGGACTGGCTATTTCCTGAGCAAAGGTACTTCTGGGTTCAAATCCCAGTCCTGACAGAGTCTTTTACCTGGGTTTTAGCCCCACGTTGGGCTGTAGTGTTTTAGGGTGTCTTAATCCTAGACCATTCAGACCAGTTGTTTCGAAACCTTGAACCTTTCACCTCCAGGTTTGGTTCATCGAGTAAATGTGAAACTGGCAGAATCAGGGCAAAACGAGAAAGCCAGAAGGGCGTTTTGGATTGCCCTTCAATCAAACTCTGTAGCCCTTGTTTTGCAATCGGAAGGCCCTTCCATGTGAAATTCTAAACTTTGATAAATAGCTATGTGGGTGTTGTATTTCAAAAGTTCCCATAGGTCAACCAGTAAACATTTTATTTCTGTACAGCAATAACTGTAGAAAACCCTTATAATGAAAAACCTTACAATGAAAATCTATGACGACTAGCTCAATGGGTGTTGATTATCTAAGTCACCAATGAGTCTGTACACTTTTTAGTTTAGTTTTTTAAAAAGACATGCTAAACTTTAGTCAGAGATATTGGTTTTATGTCAGGATGGCCGAGTGGCCTAAGGCGCCAGACTCAAGGACTGGCTCCTTCCTGAGCAAAGGGACTTCTGGTCTCCATATGGAGGCGTGGGTTCAAATCCTACTCCTGACAGAGTGTTTTACCTGGGCTTTAGCCCCCCGTTGGGCGGTTGCATTTTAGGGTGTATTAATCCTAGATCATTCAGACCAGTTGTTCCTTTTTTTGCAATCGGAATGCAATCGGCCCTTCCATCTGAAATTCAAAACTTTGGCCTATTTTAGCATCGTTGCTAGTCCGGCTAGCTCAGTCGGTATTTGGACCAATTAGTACATTCGGACTTCGTTAAGTCAGTATGCCCCGGAAGGAAAAAATGGAAAAAGAGAAATCTCCAACGAGGCGTTCTGGGGCAGCATAGACAGGTATTTTCTGTGTTAGAGTTTTACTCGCTACAGGGTGTACTTTGAGGGTTTGTGACTCTGCAGACCGTTTACATGCAGAAAAACCTTCATAACACACAAGGGGACGGGTAATAACCAGAAAAGCATGACATGGGACCTTTAAATAGTTAAGTATGTAAATGAAATGTGCAAAGACAAAATACTCATCGAATCAACATCCATTTATTTAATTTTTTATTAAAAAAAGACCTTGTGGACAGACCAGATCACAAAAAATATTCAGACTCTTTAAAAACAAAATGAAAACGGAGTCCTTTACCTAGATTCATTTTCATACGTACATTTTAAACGTATTTGTTCCTTAAAAACAGTAAAACGCGCTCTAACAAATGTGAGAAACAACCTTTACAAATGAACGAACAAAAAGCACAGAATAATACATTTAAAGTATTTCCAAAGGGAAACAAATATATTTTAAAGCATAATGCTACAAATACATTCTTTTTTTCCAGCAGACAAAAACAAACATTAAAGTAAGCACTTTGGTCGCCCCCCTCACACACACACTGAAGACCATTACTTTATTTTATGAATAAAGTTAGTTTCAGTCTGAGAGCTAACACGACGCAAATGGAGTCACAGTCCAGATGTTTCTGTGGTTTCATCTCTTCATGTACCTTGTGGAGTTTATTCCAGAGTTTTCTGAGCAGGTACTCTGGCAGCAGGTGAGGTACAAATAGAAATCTCCTGACATTGAAACAAGATGTAACTTCTATTCTTCCATTTTAAATCTGTTATTAAAGTGCATATCTTGATCACATCCTGACTGCAGTGTTTATAAACATGTGACAGACAGAGGATTCACTAAAGATCAGACATGCAAATTCATCTACCGTCTATCAGCGATATCATTTCTGAAACGGGTCACCTGATGGGAGTCTGATGTCATCAAAGAGTGACACTGAGACAACGGATGTTCAGGAGCTCAACTCTTAATGCTGTTCGGAATATACATATCTTTTTCGCACATATAAACCTCTTTTAATTTGCGTCAACTGTTGACAAACAGTATTTTTTTTAGATAAAAAAAGAAAAAAAAGAACTTACATTCCCTCGTTGGTACTATGTAGAAAATAATTTGTACTTAAAGAAAAGAGAAAGAGTGGACGATAAATAAGGATTGATATGAGATATACTGCATTCAAATAGTACAATCTTTTATAACTTTTTCACTTCTCTGGATCTTGATGGGAAATATAATGAGGGTCAAAGAAAGATGTAAAGGAGAATGTATAAGGACTAAGAAAAATAAAACAGATTTACTCTAGGATGTATGATTACTCAGAGGAAGTTATAGACATATGACTCATGTTCAATGTGCTGCAAGGAATTGTGGGACAGCAATATCTCCTTTGTATCCGTAAAGAGCATTTAGAGACTTACAGTAGCTCTTAAACGCTGCGCTCACTGAGGGACCAGTGAAACCACAGAGAGAGTCTGTGTGCAGCTCCCCAGAAACAGAAGGGAGTCATCTTACTGTACGTTTACTACACCAGGAAGCAGTTTGCTGAGCAGAGTCTGACGTCTGCCTAACACAATGTCATCACACGCTCCTAAAAGAGGTCATTTATACCCGATAATGACATGTGACCACCTACAAAGCACCTGTATGTGTAGAAATGCTGTCAAACCCACCCATATGGGTCGGGAAGTGAAACGTCTTATTTTGGATTGTTTCTCTGCTGTGCTGAGGAATGCCAAACAAAAGCATCTCTGGTAAGTCAGCAAACAAATAACTGTACCTGTATAACATATGTCAAATGTAACTTTTCTTTCATTTGGGAGTGGTATGAACAGAGGTTCATTTCTCAAATGGCAGGAACAGAACCAAAGCAGCCACAGTTCAGATAATAACTGTAACTGTACTTTTATGAGGATATACTTAAATAAATGTTTTTAAATATAACCATTAGGTTGCATTTAACCAGAGGGTCATTCTGATTCAATGTCTTTCTTTTATAAAGAAACCACTGGACAAAGATGTTTAACAGACTGTAGGGTCGCAACGGTTTGAATTTAGTTTTGAAGTATTTACTTAGCATATAAATAATAACTCAGTTAAAGCAAATAAAACACAAACATAATAATAACATCACATTCCATCCACAGCTCTCCGCCTTCACATCTGAGACGGAGCTGAAATGAAACGGTTTCAAATGAGAACTAACCCGTCACGTTAGAAACATGACTCATGCTGAATAATACTAACACTTGTTGTAGACAGGTCAAATATAGCATCAGAAACAAACTACAGTTCAAATAAAAGTCAAAACACTGAGTGGGTAAATAAATAGCTTTTCCAATTGCACAAAGTGGGACCGTTGGAGGTGAGAGGATCGGTCTGTGGAGACCACGGTCTTTCAGTCAGTCGACGAATCAGAGAGTCAGTCAGCGAGCCAAGCCCCGCCCCTTCGGCTCACTGTCACGATTTAATCTTCCACAGCTGGAACAAGAAGCAGAGGTTAGGAGAGCTGCAGGGTAAGAGGGGCCAACATGTCATACAAGACTTAATGTGAAATTGTGCTAAATAGCAAAAATGATCTTGAGCTTTGACCACCTAAACTTGAGTCCCAGTGGTCTTCAGTCAGTCAGTCAGAGGTGGATGGAGCAGAGCTCTTCTTTACTAATGGGCTTTTTGAGGCGTTCCCGAGCAGGAGTGGTTACATCTCAAAGCTTCCAGTTCCACTGTCTGACTGAGACTGAGGTTGACCTCTGACCTCTCAAACAGCTGCTCACCTTGAGGTTGAACCCCAGCAGGTCGGAGATGACCCCTGACACGGCGGACAGGATGACCACCTGGGTGATGTTGTAGAGCAGAGGGTTCATGGTCAGACCGTACAGCCTGAAGGGAGCGTCCAGCTCCTGGGGGGAGAGAGAGAGAGAGAGAGAGAGAGAGGGAGAGGGAGAGGGAGAGACAGTTAGGATGAGACATATTCAACACTTCATTCAGAGTGAGTTATAAAGGAGTTGTGGAGGCACCTTGAGCAGTTTGGTGGCCAGTTTCAACACGTTGTTCACCAGGGTCAGCTCCTCCTTCTTGTTTGGCTTCTTCTCCATTTTCAGATACAGGTTGATCTGTAGAAACACAGAGTGGGTGTCAGTGTGTGGAGAGGAGTCTGCTTGGGGGGGGNNNGCTGGGGGGGTGCATGTATCTCTGTGTACCTGTTCAGTGAGCAGGATGGAGGTGTTGCTGTACTTCTTGCTGGTCTCAGAGCCCAGCGTGACGAACCTGAGCAGGAACAGAGACAGACTGGAGCACCAGATCACCAGCTCCCAGTTATAGTGACACTCCAGGAAGGTCTCGTGGACGTGCAGCAGCTGTCGTGTAGGGGGGATGTCGTGTAGGGGGCGTGTCGTGTACCGTCTTGCTGCTGCGGGGAGAGGAAGTACTGTTCAGTCTGAGGAGAGGTGGGCTTCACTCCAGACTTCAGAGTCAATGCTTTCGGATTGATCCAAAGCCACTATGTGTACATTCCGGAAGACCGCAATGCACTCGTGAACCACCCAGTCCCACGTGCTGCCCTCTGGAGGAGTTACCTGTGCGCAGCAGATGAAGACGACAGACAGAGTGAGCAGGAAGGCCGACGACACGATCACATCCACCGAGCGCTGAGGACCCCGCCTCTGCAACACATCCAACAGTTATTGGGAATACAGCTTCCAAACAGCTTTGAATGTACCCAACTTCCAAATGTGAACAGAAATGAAAAAGCATGGATGCAATTTGTATCCAGGAAAACAAAGCCCATTGTGATTGTCACTCTCAGGAATACCAGCACAGTGCATTTGAAAAGGATGTGAGCATCATGAGAGACGTACCTTGAGGTAGGAGCGTAGCGACAGCCACATCTTGATGTTCTGGACTTTCTTCAGCCTAAAGTGAGGGACTTCAGACTTCCTGGCCCTGCGGGCTGAAGTCAGGTGACCAAACAGCTTGGCAAACAGTAGCCTCTGAACCGAGCATAACACAATTCATAACAATATCAGACCTGCTAGGAGAGTTCAGACTGTTAGGTACATTCAAATCCATTTCTCTCTCACCTGTTTGTAAGTCCTCTCTGCCACGCTGAGCAGGAAGAAGAAGAGCCATATAAGGCAGACGCGCACCAGGAAGCTGAGTGTTACCATGGTGATCACCAAGGCATCTGATCCAGTTCCGCCCCCCAGAGCCACAGACAGCAGCTCATTGGCTGAGAGAGACGTCAGCTGATCCAGGTCCCGGTACTGAGCCAGCCTGCAGAGCCACAGAGATGGACGTGAGTTAAGATGCATGTGTATCGACACTTCCTGTTAATAAAGTGGAAATGGCAAACTACAGTTATTGAGAGGGTTTATGATATGATACCTGTATGCAAAAGGTGTGAGGCCAAGCGTCACTGACACCAGGTTCCCAAAGACCTGGTAACCAATACCAGGAGTGAAGAGATTCACCTGTGAAGGAGAACAACAGAAGTGAGTACCTTCTATAACCGCTCTGTATTTATTTATTAATATTATTAAGGAAGAACAACTCACTTTGTTCATGATCATGCCGCTGATCTCCAGGACAGACATGTCAGCCTTCTTACAGTCGTTCCCCTCCCACACTATGGCGCTCACTCTCTCCAGACCGGGGTGAGAGCTGTGCAGCCAGGGGGAGTGACCCTGAGGGGAAGAATACACAAAAAGGAAACATCAACGATATGTTCTTTTTAATGCTGTCAAAATTATCGCGTTAACGGCGGTAATTCATTTTTTGAATGAATTGCGTTAAAATATTTAACGCATGTGCAGAATGGCCCGCCCCATACATCCCACCAGTGGCAGCGCCAGGGTATGGCTGGGGTAGGCTACACCCATACCAAGAAATGGCTTAGCCCCACCATGAAAAATGATGTCAAAGTAAGCAAAATAAAGTCCGCCAACTCGCGCCGAGAATTGAACAGACAGCAGTTAGTAAGATTGATTTCAGTAGCCACTTGTCTGGAAATACCGAAGACCAGAAACGGGTTTGAAAACTTTTGTCACGTAGTGATCGTCTTCTCAATAGAACATCTTTGATAATGTCTTCTGGCCAATCAGAATCAAGATAACGGCGTGGTGATTTTGCAGGAAGTCCCAACGGAGAATACTTTAGCTGTAGTACATGGGTGCACATAACTGGTACGCAGGTTATGTGCGTAATCTGAAATGCGTACCGTCACTTGTGTTACAAAGCGCATTTGTGTACCGACGTACTTGTGAAGCTTTTCCAGAAGGCGGTTAGATCACCGGACGACAGAGTCGGTCTCCGTGTGCACAGACAGGGCTGCTGTTAACGTCGGGCTGCCAAAACTACGCCAACCGGCTGCGGAGGGAGACTCCCCCCCTTCACTGGAGAACTGCGCTAAACAAGCTGATCACAACGTTCACACTCTGTGGTCACGAAGTACTCCACTACGCCCCCCCCCCCCCGTCGACTTTCCTGAAGTACTACCCCGTTGATAGAAATCAACACGTAATGAATTAAGACCCCACGGTTTGATGATTGATAGGTGTGTGGGCTGTCTTTCATTTTGACACACAGAAAAATGTTATAATGAACATACATACTGTATGTTAAATGGATATATCCGCCTTCTTTCATTTATCTTTCCATTCCCACAACAATATACATAAAGAAATGGCATATTTTGGGCATAGTTCGAATGGTGATTAATCATGATTAATTAATTTTTAAGCTGTGATTAATCTGATTCAAAATGTTAATTGTTGGCAGCCCTAGTTCTTTTATAAGATAAGATAGTACTTTTTTTTAAGACAACAAGATGTCTCAGTTATTTGAAGATCAGAAGATGTCTGGGTTGAAACAGGGCTACATTTGGTTGAAAATCTCATCTTAAATATATGTTCCAACAGCTTAAATGACTAATTTAGTGTCAATAAGGTCAGATCTAACTAATTAATAAAGTAATGTGGATACCTATTCATATTTGCTAATCCTCAAAACGTTTATAAACATTCAATGTTGACCATCCAGGCCACATGTAGGAGGGTTTACAGACCTGATGGAAAGGGTCGTCTCTGTATTCCTTTTTAGCCGGGGGGCAGACGGGAGTCCCTCCCCCTTCTCCCTCTGTGAAGTCACAGAGTGACAGCATGAGTTTCAGGAACAACAAACATATTGAAATGGTTTTTAGCAGGTATCAAACTACGAGCTGTGTGTATGTGGTCCAGCTCCTCTGACCTGTCTCTGAGGTGCAGGAGGACCTGCACTCGGCACAGTGCAGGAAGTCCTCCCACATCAGGTCCTCTGTCTCTGACTCGTGTCGAGTGCTCTCCGAGTCCTGAGTCCTCAGACTGGAACATCTGGAACTGCAGCTGGTGCCAGACTTGGGGACGTCCTGTCAAACAGAAGAGAGGATTGTTGTTTCATTACATTACATGTCACTTGTTAGACGCTTTTATCCAAAGCGACTTACATACATTCAGTACTGTGGGCGATCCCCACAGGAGCAATTTGGGGTGAAGTGTCTCAGGGACACAACGACATGCTGACTGCAGTGGGACTCGAAGTTGCTATCCCCTGATTCAAAGTTCAGCGCACATCTCACTGAGCCACAGCCTCCCGTTTTGTGAAAAGTTTAAAACAACATCTACTGTTTGTTGTAGCTGATTTACTGCTTTACCTCCACAGCGTAGTGTTTTTTGTAGTGGTGTGTATTCTTGCGGTTTCTGAGCGTACAGTCGCTGTTCATTCTTTCCACCCCCCTTCGGAGAGCTCTGTAGGACGCCTCAGGGTCCTCCTCACTGGACGCCTCGTCTGAAGCTGGCTCCTAAATACAGAACACACATTAGACAAAAAAAGGTCTGGAGTGCTCGGAAGTTCAAAGTGTCATAAAGATGCTCTTTGGTAAGGTCAGAAAAAGAAAAAAGGCCAAAGGCACGATGAAGAGTGCCTTGGACCTTTTTTTCTTTTTGGAAAATGTCAGCAAATCCTGAGAGAGTTGTGGCAGTGCTTGTGTCTCTGGGTCACCTTGCTGCTGCTGGCCAGTATCAGCCCCGTGCTAAGGGGGGGCTGAGTGTGCACAGGCGGGACCACAGAGGTCCAGCAGGCCTCGTCAGTCCTGTTCAGCGAATCGCATGGCTGCTCGTGGAGCTGAAGCCCCTCCTCGCTGCTGCGATTGGTCACCCGGCCGTCCAGCGACACGTAGCCGTTGTCCGTCTCTGTGGACTTGTCGATGGACAGCTTGGACTTTTTAGATCTGAAGGAGTAAGTGAAAGGGGAAGGGTGGAAGAAAAGCGGGAAAGAAAAGATTGATAGAAAAGAGACATGTAGATGGACAGGTGGATACAGACAGAGGTTTAGATAAACCCAGCTGAGAGACTAACCGGTTCAGACATGAATCACAGACAGCATGCATCAAACACAACACTGTGGAACATTCACACAATACACATCCTGTAGAACCATTCAGTCAAATAATACATTAATAAAGGAATGGGTTAAGTGTCTTAAGCGTGAACACTTTTACAAATATGTTTTACTGAATGTAGATGTTTTATTTTTCTGCCTTTTTAAAAAATATTGATATACTCTGTGCCCTTCAGTTTATTGAATTTATGAATGAGTCTTATGCAACATGAAGTATGATACATGTGAAAAATAACCTCAATAAATAAGATGGTTGAGATTCTAAATTAGAGTTAAAAAGGATAACCAGTGGAGCGTAATGAACTGAGGGAGAGGAAGAGGCAGAGGAGGAAGGGCACAGAGTGTGCCAGATGTAGTGCTCTGGAACATTCCACAGTGTTGCAGTCTGCTGAAAGCCTGTGGAGGAGAAGCATGGGGAGGAAGCTGCTGTCGGAGAAAGTTAAGATACATTTCCAATGGTAGACGATCTATTGTTATGGTTTTAGATCATGTATCCTAGATCTTTGTCAAGGAAAACAACAGGGGCCATGCTTCTCCTGAACACAGCTTGCTCATCAGTCATGCACGTCAAAATCAGCTGCAAAGTCCCTCCGTCCCTCACTAAAAACAGCAGTACTAGATTCTATCTGTGGATACGTATTTCAGGAAGCTAAAGTTGAACAGCCGATGGTCCAATGCTGCTTATCAACATCAGATCAGTTCGGTCAACCTTTGAGAGAGAGCTACAGATGTGAGAAGAGAGGAGGAGATGTTGCAGCTGAAGACTCCCAGGTTAGATCTGAGTCCAGGCTGGGGTTCAGTTCTTAGTAAGATGATTTGAACAAAATGTCATTATTTGATGAAAGTCTAGATTTGGACTTAACACATATTACATCTTAAATTGGTTAATGCTAGAAAAGGTTAGCGAACTGAACCCCGGTCCTGTCTTTGCACATCATCTCATTTTAGGAAGTTGTGAAACGAAATACACACCCAGCTTTACAGATATCATGCCAGAAATCTTGGAAGAGAGTGCCCAGGCTGTATGTGCTGCTGGCTGAGTGGGAGTGTGGCGCCCCCTCCTGTGTGTTATCGGTAGTGCTAGACCCGTCGCCTTCCCTATGCACCTCCATCTGAGAGGCCTTCCTCAACTTCCTTCAGTTTGGAAAGAATAGAAGGTGGAGAGACTTAGAGGGTCCTGGAGACTAAGAAGACTTTAAGCTACAGCAGGGTGTCCCGCGGGGCCAGGCTGCCCCCCCCTGTCCTTTAACCATAAGTCATTAAACAGCAAAGATATGGAACTAAACCCCAGGCCCCGCTGGACACAGGCTGATACAGTTAAAGGCTGGTTCTACCAAAACCCTCTTTTAGGTTGGTTTCTGCAAAAGTGGATGTTTTTGTAAAAAAAATAAACTTGTTAGTTAAATGTATTAGTTTTTCAAAATAAGAGGCAATTTAATATTAAGAAAGGTTTTAGTCATCTCATGTTTCTCCATTTCATTGGAGACAATATTTTGGCTTAAAAAAAAAAATCACTAAAAAGGAAAACTATTCCAGCTTCAAAAAGGTTTGATGTGGGAACTTCACCGAACTTTTTGTTCAATGTCGAACTTTTGCAAGATTTGAACATAAAAGTTAGATTTCTGCAGAATTGCCCCCTGAAGATTTCATTAAAGGACAAAGAGTGGGGAAGAACTGGGTCGTTGTCTTTTGATTTTCAAATCAGAAAGCAATATCAACAGGATGCTAAAAAAAGCCTATATCTGTCACTGCTAATAAATAAAGTACAATAATTGCTGGGTATGAATCATTAGATTGCACCGTGGTCTGCCTTCTGCTTCTTTATGAGATGAAATATCAATAAGACTAAAAGGAGGAAAAGTGAAATGTAAGAGAACTAGAATCAGCTCTGTGTAAATATCTTTGTACCCTTTCATGATTCTCCTCTCATAAAGACCAGAGGCTGATTCAGTGAAGGAGCAAACACCGTTTCCTCGCTCCCTCTCAAAACCCTTTCCAAAACTGTGGCATGTTCCAATTTTCTTCCCAAAGAGTCTGAAAATTGTCTTCAGTCATTGTGAACCAGAAACAGCAGCCGCACACTGACAAGCTTCAAACCACAAACTTCGCTTCTAAAAACTAAAAAACACTCACATCAAGGGGAGCAAACTACTTTCTACTTTCACACACATGAATCCCATTTGTCTAACAACGACATTCGATTTATCATGGAGAGATTCTTAGACAATCATGCCTTACTCTATGCCTAATTCTTGATCAAAGGTCCTTTAAAAAGAACATAACTGTTAGAATTACACACAGAATTCAAATAATGAATTGAGTCATGAATCTGAAAACAGTCTGTTGACAGAATGTCTCTCCATGATAAAGACACTTGTATTCAGTGAGAGAGGAATCAGGACAGACAGACCTATTCATGCTTCTGTTTCCACAGCTTTCCTCCTCTTTCTCTAGCTCACACTTTTCTCACCATGTCCCCAGTTCTCTTCTAGTGCCATGTTCTGGGTGTTGTGTCCTCTAATACTTTTTCCATTTCTGTATAACTAATCTATGTCTAGCATCAACAGCTTCTCCCACTCTCTCTGCTGGATCTATCCTTCCTCCTTCCCCTCTCTCTGTCACTTGTCACGTTCTGCACTGTTTTCCATGGACAGGTCTCCCTGTTTCTTTTCTTTCCTCCGCCTACCTGCGTCTCTTCCCCCCGCTGCTGGAGGCAGGTTTGGGCGTCCTGGTGGAGACGATCTGACAGTGGACGGTGCCGAGCAGCAACATGAGCCAGATGGCTCCAAACACTTCGGTGGTTGGTATCCCATGAGGCTGAGGGATGATCACATACAGGACTGCTGCTGCCGCTGCAGAGGAGAGGAGGACAAATGGCCTCCATTACAACATTACACACAGATTATTTAAAAGGACACCAACACTCTGAAGCTCTTCACAGCATTGGTTTTCCTGTTTGCACATTTACTGCATGTTCAGTCACACCGCTTCAATCATATGGACTTCCATTAGTCTCACACAGGCATGCAATGTGCATTTTACTACAATCCTGCAGGAAAGGAGGTCAAGATGCTAGGGATCCACGTATTATTCTGGGAGTTTGTGGAAAAGGGTCTAAAGTTTGAGTGACTGTGGGACTCACATTCATCATGTGTTGCTTTGTGTCTGCTCCGTGTGGTATTAAGCAACTGTTTGCTAACATGTAAGCCACAACAGGTGACCAATTAACAGAATTCTTTGTTTGCGATTGTGTGTGTTTGATATTTCTGCTCCTTCGCAGCCATGAACGCTTGCTGAATCTGGTAGTAAATCAAAGAGAAGTTGTGTGTGTTTTTATGCTGCATGTGTGGGAAGTTAGCAGGAAGTGAGGAGGATTAAAAAGAGACATTTTAAGAAAAACTGCAGATTAGACGCAGAGTATCAGCTGCTGAACGTCCTGTGAAATAGCTCCTTGGTTAAAGATTTCGTCTCAGGACTGATTCCTGCATGGATACTAAATTCATCAGTAATATTGTTAAAAGGCGATGCAGCAGCTGGCCTCTTAAGCCTTGAACGTCATAGTCCCTTTAGAAAAACAAATGATATGCAATTTTGCAACAGTCTGGTGACACACACACACACACACACACACACACACACACACACACACACACACACACACACACACACACACACACACACACACACACACACACACACACACACACTCTTGTGGCTGGACGCTGGCTAGCGCCGCCCTACACACACACACACACACACACACACACACACACACACACACACACACACACACACACACACACACACACACACACACACACACACACACACACACACACACCTTGCAGCAGGTAGAGAGCCAGCAGTAAGAGGAAAATGGTTCTGGAGGTGACCTGGATCCACCATCGATAAAAGAAGGGGAAGCAGACCACTCGGACCAGGCCCTTCCGGGTCAGGGACGTCCACGGACTCTCTGGCTTGGCCTTTGCAAAGGCCGAACCTTCAGAGGACGAGAACAATGACATTAGGTCAACGAGAACAACAACTTTATTTTAACATTCAACATTATCTTTCTAAGCCTCCTTCTCCTTCACTATGTTTTTTTTGCAGATCTCCCTTCTTTTAACCTTCTTCTATTCATCTACTCTCATTCTTCATTTCTTTCTTGAGTATCTATTCAGTCTAACCGTGAAACAATTTAACAACAAAAGGATACATTTGATTGAAAACAGACACAATTGTATGGGCTCAGATCAGTCTCATAATACACACATGCACACAGAAGGATCCACACTTGTGTTTTTCAATGCACACAAATGTGTTCCGTTTCATACACATGTAAATCAAATCCAAATATAGAAAAAAGTTTTACATATGTATTTTTGATCCTCACATTTGTTTTCCGTTTAAATCCCCTGAACCTGCAAACACAAACCGCTTTCTGTGCATGGATCGCTGTGCATTCATGTATGGGTTTTTTGAGACTCCCCTGACGATCAGCCGATTCGTACTTGTAATTTGTTCTATCTATAGCCAATCAGATGTCTCCTTCATTCTAAGCCAATCACATGAGCCACGAGG